ATAAAAAAGAAGAGCTTCTTCTGTCGCTTCCTTCTTAAGAATGCTCTTAATTCCCTGAAAAATAGATGAGACTTATTGTTACCATATGCATCATGTGACAGTTAAATAGTACCATGTGACCAAATAGGTTATGGTACCATGTGACCGAGTTAAATAGTATCATGTGACCAAATAGGTTATGGTACCATGTGACCGAGTTACATGGTACCGTGTGACCAAATAGGTTATGGTACCATGTGATCGAGTTACATGGTACCATGTGACCATGAAACCTGTGACCAACACACCATGTCCTATTTTCTGCGTACCTTTGCTTTAGTGCCAATCTGGTCTATAACAGTCTTGAAACTCCATCTAACATTTGCTTTGACAGACTTCTTGCACATTCTGGGACACGTCGGATCCGCTCCCTCGACGTCTTTGTACATCCCGTTGGCACCCAAATTTGATATGCATTCGAAAGGAAGCAACTGTACCATATTGTGTAAATATTAAATTCCAAAACAAATCAATGTAATAACGGTACTTTTCATTTATACACGTAGTGAAAAACCCTTACCATAAGAGGGATTATAAACCCACGACAGTGCCATTTCTTCTTCGGCCCTCCACTTCCGAAACTCTTTCTTACTTGATTAATCATTCTATCAAATGTGTAGCGTCCCCATGGAAATCTCTCACAGAAAGCCAAATCATCCACCATATCCACCAAATCATGGTTTATAAACTCATCTGTGGTGCCATGATCCAGTATTCCACCGAGCAACATGATAACAGCCAGTTTCTTCCTATCAGCAGCCCTTTGAGTTGGCGTCTTCTCGAGATGTCTTATCACACTCTCCTTAGATACCTTTCGATTTCCAAAAGTCTTCACTCTAAACTGGCTTTTCCTCATATATTCCCATCCAGCCGGATACTCACCGCATTTCAATCCGCATATGAGAGCGTGTTCAACGATGGAGTATCTAATGGGCACACCATTTAGAACAAACCATAATTCCTTTTCATCCTCCGCATTGACACAATGGTTTATCAAGAATGCTGCTGGAGCCATCTTCAGCGTGCCATCAAATTGCATGTGAAACAAATGTTGAAACTGTGACTCATGACTGAAATACCTCCATTCTTCAGGGCTTAACAAGTCTTTCAGTTTTTTTATTGTCTCCGACGGGTAACACTTGGTA